TGTAGATGCCCATGTAGTATATTTACAATGCTGGCATGTAGGTCTAGGCAGAGCATACTTGCCCATACTGCAAATTCAACCTTATACTTCCGCTCCCTTACTTGGGTAAGAAATACCTTGAGATCCATCATCCCTGCTTTCACACCAGCTCTGGGGACCTGGCTCTGACCTTCTCATGCATCGCAATCATCTGGGGAGCTTTACAAATGCCACACACCCCCAAATTTTGATTCAATTGTCCAAGGGTAAGTCCTGAGTATCAATAATTCATGAGCTTCTCAGGTGATGTAGTATAGCCAGGATTGAAAACTGCCGCTCTGGGGTTTCCAGGAAAGGAAGAGCAAAAGTCAGAGGAGAGATTTCTGAGAATCAGGCAAGAAGTGAAAGTCCCATGGGTCACTGGCCTAAAGGGTCCCTGTGATGGGCGGGAAGGAGGATGAGAGAGGTGGTTGGAAGGTCTTGCCAAATTCCTTAGCAGATTTAAGAAGAGATGCTAAAATTATGGCAACTCCTCTTTGGGGAATTGATCCCTATTCCTTTAAAAATATTCTTACCCTCACTGAATAAGAAATTTGACTCTCATAAGATTCAGATAAATTCATCACAGGAAAGAGTTGGGGGTTATTTTGTCCAATTTTTGTGTTTCACAGATAAGAAAATCGAAGTGTCCAGATGCTGATGACTGTCAGCCTGTCTACCCAGTTCAAGCAAAGTCAAAACTGGAATTCAGAGTCCTGGCTCCCAGAGGGGGCTCTTCCCACTCCTCTGTGTGGCCTAGGCCAGCAGCTCACTTTTTTTATGGGGAAGTAGAGCCAACTGGGATGCAGGGCCTGATTTACCAGTTCATGGCCCATTCTCGCCAATGGCTCCAAGACCTAGGAACCATCGGAATCACCCGGGGAATTTAAAACCTAGATTCCTGAACGCAGCCTGGAATCCAAATCTTTGGGGTGGGGACTAGAATTCTATTCAAACCGTTCACTTCTCCTCCCTTGCTCCCCTTTGGCCTGTTTTGCTTTGTGTTTGTGAACTCCAGGGTCTGGAGAGGCCTGATACTAGGGTCCTTGGAAATTCCTAGGTTTGGTGATTATCTGTGAATTTTAATTACTGGAAAGTTGATGCCTCCCTGCATAATTAGGAGTGAACACAATATTCATAGCCTTATGCAACCAAGATTTTCTCTCATTTCCAAAAGCTGAAATACAGACTGAACATAGCAATTATTTTAAGGCCACAGAAAAGCTAACACCGAGACCAGAGCTCCGGGCAACAACAGAAAAGCAGGATCTGCCCCAGCTCCCGTGGGTTTGCTCTGCAGGGCAGGCGGAGGCTGAGGGCAGGCAGGCACCGTTCCCAACCCCCTGCTCCCATAGTGCGTGCATCTGAGACCCAGGTTCGAATCCCCGTGCTGCCGCCGCCGGGGTGTCAGCTCTCAGCGCTCCTCTGTCCTTACCTGCAGAAGGGAGAGTTCTTGCCACTTGATGGGATGCTGCCCAGCTGCATGAGGCAGCACTTGTGAGCTCTGTGAGCGGCTTATGGACACAGGGCTTGTGCTGGAGACACGAGGGCTACCAGTAGCAGGGTTTGCAAGGGCCGTGTCCCCTGGCTCTGCATGTCCCCAGAAGTTCCCTCCCTGCAGGGGTGTCCTGACTGGCCGTTCTCTGCCTCCTTGACCCCCTTCCCTGCTTTCCACTCTCCATTTGGGGGCCTCACTCAACTCCCTCCCTTCCTTCTTGATTCACTCGCTCAGATCAGTGGTCCTCAACCCTTGTGCACATTTGAAGAACTGGGGAGCATTTTCAAAGGCGCCGATGCCTTGGGCACCCCATCGCATGGCTCAGGCCAGAATCTGAGGAGGAGATGGAGCGCCAGGCACTGTGTTTTAAAACATGCTTTCTGGGCGATTATAATGTACAGCTGGGGTGAGAACCACCGCTTTGGACCTACAGTTTCTGGGAATCCCTTGAGGGTACAGGGAGACCATGTGCCCGGGGCCTCTGGCCTCTGAGCTCCTGCTTCCAGGCCCAGAAGTGAAACTCTTCTCTCACCTTCCTAGACACACGCATACAACGATGGGGTGGTGGGAACCCAGAGAAGAGGTTTACATTACATCAGTGCAATTACAAACTTAGGCATCTTAGTTCTTAACTGGCCTTTTCCCTGCCCCCTCCCAGGGGCTGATTACAGTTCCCCCCAGTCGCTCCACTAGCTGTCCTCCCCTCCTGTCTCTCCTCATCCTTTCTCCCACCCTCTTCACACAAGTCTCCTGCTTGAGACCCTGCCCCCTGCTTTGTGGCCTCTACCTCATCTTCCACCCAAGAGCCTCAGCAGGGCCGTTTCCCAAAGGCAGTTCCCTCCCTAGAAGGTGTCAGCTCTTAAGGGAAACATTCACTTGTGTCCTCTTCTGTGTACTCAGGTTCCTCCCAAGTCCCTCCCACAGGCTGGGCTGGCTGGTAGGCCCCTCCCGGGGCTGCCCTGAGTGCTCTGGGCCACCCCGGCCTACTGAACTGAGCTCTGAGCCTCGGTGGCCATCACAGTGTCCTTGGTGTCTGCCCTTGAACCTGCCTGGCTGAGAGCCTCAGGGTTTGCATGTCATGGAAGCAAAGAGTGATACTCTTTCCAACCCGGGCCTGACATCCCCTACTCTCCCAACTAAGAAGCAGGTTGGACTACACAAATTACTCACAATCTGGCACACGCGCAAGTGTATGGACAATTACAACCCAGCATAGGGTGCTGTAGCCAACAAGCTGCTGGCCTGGAAGGCAGGGGTGGGGTAGGATTGCTTGTGTCTGCAAACAGAGGTAACTGGAAGCGGTTGAAAGCTTGACCAGGACTCTTTAAGGCAAAGAGGAAGGGTTGAGGGGTGAGCACGCTGGGCAAATGGACTGTGTGTGTGAAAGGGCAGATTCCCCAGTGAGTGTGACACGTTCGGGGACACTGCGGTCACTGGTTTGGCCCTGCCTGGCCTGCCAGCAATCCTTTGTCCTGTCGGGCTCCACCAAACCGACCAGAGCTGCTGAAAAGTGTATTGCATTTAAGAAAGCTGTGATCTCTTATTTCCTTGGAAAACCAAGCAAAGAAATGGTTTAATGAGAACCCACAGCACCCAGGGAATGGAAGGTGGGAGAAGGCTGAGGATGCAGGGAGATGCGAGGAGTGAGAGCCTGTGACAGGATGGGGACTCTGAGCGCTTCCGTCTTTGATCTGAGCCACTGAGGGTTACACTAAAGGGTTCTCTCCATTACCCAATTCGCCTACAGAGAAGACCGTCTAGATGCCTGAGCAGTTGGAAACATCCTCGAGTTCTTGACCTAATTCTTGTCCGCCTCCTCTTTCACCTGGCATGCAGATAGCACAGCACCATCCAGGAGCCCCGGCCCACATTCCTTTGTTTAATCCCCTCAGAAACCCATAGGTGGTATTTGCCTCACAGTTCTGGAAGCCAAGCTTCAGTAACTGTGTCCTGGCCGTACGGAACAGGGCAGAGACTCCAACGCTGGTCCTCTGGCCCCAGCTCCGCAGGCGCTCCCCGCCCCTGCCTGTCAGGGGCTCAGCAAACTCACCCACCGCAGGTCTCCTCTTTCCCGTCTGTTGTTCAAGAACAGCTTTGGAGGAGGCTGTGGGATGACAGACACTGACACAAAGGGGCAGACGGGCTATCTGGGGCCTGGCTTTGGACTTAGTGAGCTCCTAACTACAGCCCTGATGCAGGAGCCCGGGAGCCCACTTCCAAAGACTCCTCCGGCCTGATTCTCACCAACTGGTCCTGGACCTGCCTTCCCACTGTCAACCTTAAAAATAAAATTGCCAGTTATTTAACTAGCAAACAGTGAGTTTATTCAGGAATAGCAGAGGAGTTACAGTTCAGGACATGCAAACCACAGGTAAGCCAGGGGAACAAAGGACCAGAGTGTCCTTTTATTGGGGAAAGGACGACACTGGGAGGGGTTGTTCAGAACAAAAGGTCATTGCAGGAAAGCTGGAGTTCGGTTGTGGCAGCTTCTCATTGGCTGGGTTGTTGCCAGGCGAGAAGAAAATCCTCCTTCCTGCCCCGGAGTGTAAAGTAAGCTACCACAGCAGCAGGGAGTGCGAACCCTTCCCTCATTCCTTTGCAGCTCCATCTGGAATCAGGTTTTCTGTATTCATTGTCACACCTCGTCGGTCCGGGCTGCCGGCTGCTGGGAGTCAGTGGTCTGGAGGGGCCCTGGCCCTGGGTTTGGCTTTACCGCGTTCCTCCCCAATCTCACACCCAGCCCGGTGGCCCCTGCCCTTCACCCCATGCCCTGGCCAGCAGCTCTGCACACAGACCTGATGCCTCCTCTCTGCACAGTGGAGGGCTGCGCCTTCTGGGGGGCGGACGAGGCAGGGGGCGTCTGACCCTGCACTCCGCCATAAATGGGCACAGGCTGTGGAGGCCGCCCGGACCTAGGGGCCCAGAGCAGTGCCCCTCTTGCATCACTTTGGCCAGGAGCACTTGCGTTCTCCGGGAGGGAGGGAGGGGGGCCAGTGGAACGTGTGTGGTGTGACTGTTAGTGTGTTGTGAGGGTGCGGGCCACAGCCTCTGTCTAAGCCCCGGCGGTGCGCGGGTCGGCGGGCAGTAGGTGCGTCAGGATGGACTCGGGAGGGCGGGCAGTGTAGCAGCCTCCCTCTCTGTTTTGGCCCCCACCCCCCCTCCAATCAGCCAGGGAGTCCCACTGATTGGATCTGTTTATTTTATGATGGTAAAATATACGTAAGATTTATCATCAACCGTTTCTAGATGTACAGTTCAGGGGCATTGAGGACATTTGCCTTGTTGTGCAACCATCAGCACCATCCTTCTCCACACCTCTTTATAATCCTTCCAAACTGAAACTCGGTCCTCGTTAAACACCAACCCCCCACCCCCGCCTCTAGCAACCACCCTTCTACTTTCTGCCTCTATAAATTTGACTTACAAAACAAGAAAGAAAACTAATTTCCATAAAATGTTTATTGATGAAATCTAAAATACGATAGTGATCCTTGAGTACAGTTTTTTTGGTAAACTGGATGAGGAGTGGCTGGATCTTGTCCCTTCCCCTTCCTCTGGAGGAGCTCGATGTGCTGGGTCAGAAGATGCTCACTCCTTAACCCCCAAACTCAGCAAGGGTGGCAGAACCCTCAAACAGAGCTGGCCTAAGGACAGTGCCCGACACAGGACATACAGACAGGGGACAGAGTCCTGTAATCAGGCCGGAGCCCTATGCTTGTTGATTCATCTTCTCCTTATCTTCCCAACATCTGTGCTTCTCGAACTTTCAGAGTGCTTAGAAATCACCTGGTGACCTTGCCGAAAGGCAGATTCTGTGTTTGGAACACGTCCCAGGTAATGCAGATGTGCTGGCCCAGGGACCACACTTGGAGAGGCAAGGCCCCCCTTCCACCTGGGGAACCTTGATGTCCAGGCCATGCAGAACCTCTCTGAGGTTGAACAAGTCCAGGGCAAATTCTTCTTCTTCTTTTTTTTTTTTAATCACTCAATATACTAGAAAAGAGATACCAAAGAAGTTACAAAAATATTGACATATTTTAAATGTTCACAGTTTAAGAGACAAATGAATTCATCATACCTGCATTCGATATGATTGTGCCGATCCCAAAATGTATTAATTCCTTCTCAGGTTGTGGGATGAACGTCTTCCGCTCTTGTCGGCTTTCTCTGGGACTGAGTATGTGACAGCTGATGCTGAAGTGTCTGAAATGAGGCTCCTTGAGCACAAAGTAGGCCGGTGGTCCTGCAGGTTCACATGCACAGACCCGAGTGAGGGGAGCTCTGAGACCTGGAGATCTGGCCTTTCCGGCAGAGCCCGCTGGCCTTGTCCTGGCTTGGGGACTGCCTCTTTCCAGATGACTCTACCAAGGGATGTCTAATTCCTCCAGGAAATTCTTATCCTCTTTCATCCCCAGAGGGGTGGGCCCACGGTGTAGCCTTAACTGGACATGGCAGGCCGCGTCACAGTGGGTGGGGAGCTTCATGCAGAACAAGCCAGGAAAGGGGACTCAGGGATGCGGGAAGCTAATGGTGCCAACCTGTCACTCTCCAGGGGCCGAGTGGGATCTGGTCCCACCTCTGCAGGACTCCTTTTAAGGAATCTCAGAAGCTGAGTCTAGCTGTTCTAAGGCTTCTCAGCCCCTCGGGTGTTTCTTGAACCTCCAGTGTTTACAAACGGGATGACTTTGAATTATAAGGGTTTTCTCATTTTAGGAAAGGAATTACAAAAATATTTCATTGAATAAGAAGCTAGTTTAGTATACTTATAACATTATCAGACTTGCACCTTTCCCCACCTACCCACCCACCCACCCAAAACAGCCACTCTCATTAATCCTTGGAACCCAGCACGGGGTCTGGCTGGCACATAGCAGGCCTCAGTGAATGAGTGAATGAAGTTTTAAGAGCAGCCCTATTAAACTCTAATATCACAGCTGTGCCTACAATGGCCCTGTGGGAGCCCCAGCTGACCCTCAGGGGACAGTGCCTTCCTAAGCCCACCCAGCAGGGCAGGCATGTCAAGACTCAATGGGCCAGGTCAGTTCTTTCAGTCAAGACTCTGTTAGGCTGTCTGTCCTTCCTGACACACCCGGTCCTGTCATCTTGTTCGGTGGCAGTACTTGTCCCTTTGGTGAGTCATCGAAGCCACAGCACGAGGGAAGTCATGCTCTGGGGCACGGGAGCCCCGTGCCGTCCACCCCTGAGTGCCGCCATTGCTGGGAAGGCCTGCATACACCCAGGTCACACACAACACGGGCACTGTCCCCTCACGATTGTGCCCCCTGGCTGGGACAATAACAGCAACATCAAATGTCCCCATTTGGAAGCATTCTGAATCCCTGCTTGCCTGCCCAACTGATTTCCCAGGCAGGCTGTGCAGATTCCTTAGTAAATAGGTTGGCGGGACACCAAACCCTCTCAGCCTTTAAAACCACTTTCTCCCAAAGCAGAGCTCAGCGGCGGCTCACCTGGCTGTGTGATTGCCCCGTAGACTCCTGCTTCCTCCCATCCCTGGGGCTGGTAAACAAATCAGTGCTTCCTGGGAGACTGAGAAAGGGGGCTCTGTTTAAGGATAAGAGCATCATTTAGACATAATCAAGGATGCGGAAGAGACTTCGTCTTGGACAAAGACAGAGCATTTCTAAACCAGCCATTGCTCTCCGAATGTGGGAGGCTCTCTTCCCACAAGGCTGGGATTGTGCAGCTCTCAAAGAAATAAATGAGCTTGAAAGTGAGTGATAAAGGGCTTTGTGATCAGAGAGTATGCTTGCAATGCACCACCAAGGAAGAAATGTTACCCCTTTCTCAGTGAAGAGCCAGACACTTGCATAAAGTCTTAGGGGCATGAAATAAACACAGAAGTTAAATGTTGGAAAAAGAAAACTGATCAAAACAGAGGCATGTGGACACATTTTTAATAATCAGAAAGCCAATTTATTGATGTAGTGTGAGCTCCAACTGGTACATGATAAATACCAATTAAAATTTCATTAAAGAATATGTTCCTACAGAGAAGAAGCATATCTGTAAATAATTAGTAAGCAGAAAAAGTAGCAGTGGGTGAAGAATCCCAGACCTAGCTTGTCCAGTGTATCAGTGAGTACTTTCCATTGCAAATAGCAAAAAATCAACTCAAAATGACTTAAAGAGTAAGGATATTTATTATTTATGTAACTTGAAAGTCCAGAGGGGTCCAGGCTTCGAGGCTGGTAGGTCGACATCCAGCCCTGACTTCTGGTGGTCTCGGCTCTGCCTCTCTCTGCATCAGCTTCGTCCCAAGATCGCTGCTCCCCTTTCCGCCTCCCTCCCTTGACTTAATGGAGCAGCATGGGCTCACTAATTCACTGTGGAGGTAAGATGAAAGCTGTAGAGGCAGACGGGTCTAACTGGAATCCTGACTCTGCCTGGGAGCCGTGTGTCTTGGGCAAGTTGCGAACCACTGAAGTGCTAGCCTCCTCATCTGTAAAACAGGAATAATCATAACGTCTGTGTCCTCAGATTGTTGTGAGGATTAAGTCAGACGGTGAGATGGTGGCTGACATGTAAATTTAGTAAGTTAGCGCTTAGTAAATTTAAGAACTCCCCCCTTGGGGCGCCTGGGTGGCTCAGTTAGTTAAGCCTCTGCCTTCGGCTCAGGTCCTGGGATCGAGCCCCGCGTCGGGCTTCCTGCTCTGCGGGGAGCCTGCTTCTCCTCTCCCTCTGCTCCTCCCCGCCACTCATGCTCTCTCTCTCTCTCAAATAAATAAACAAAATCTTAAAAAAAAAAAAAAAGAACTCACCCCTTGTCTTTATTTATTAAATGCTTACAAAGGGTTAGGCACTGTGCTCACTTGGGGAGACATGAGTTAGAATAGACAAGTAAGTTGGTGGTTAGGGTGGTGTGGTAGGTTCCCTACCCTTGTTATCCTTACCCTTCTGGTAGGAGCAAGACTAGGGAGATGGTGGACTGACACCTGGTAAACAACAGAGACCTAAGCAGGAAAAATGGGGAGGATGGGGACACTGGTCTCCAGTGTCACTTCAAGGGCTTTAGGCTCCTTTATGTAAAGTACAGATTTGGTTTCATGTCTAATTTCCCTTCAAACTAAATACTCTAGAATTTGGAATTGAACGGAAGGAAGGGAGGAAGGGAGGAAGGGAGGAAGGAAGGAAGGAAGGAAGGAAGGAAGGAAGGAAGGAAGGAAGGGAGGGAGGGAGGAAGGAAGAGAGGAAGGAAGGGAGGGAGGGAGGAAGGAAGAGGGTTTTCAACTCAAAAGGAACAGAATACATTTTTTGGTGACACTCAACATGCTCTCTCAGGTCGGGAGATCAAAGGGACTGCTTCAGCCCAGAGCACCTGAGAGCGGGCAGCAGTTGGGGAAATTATGTTCCTAGTTACTTCTTTCTGGACGATGTTAGGGTAAGTACTCATCTGTGCTTAGAAATGTTCTACTGGATATCAAAAATAAAATGGCTAAGCAACTTCCCCAGGAAAAGAAAAAGCAGTCCAGACCTATTTAAAATAACCATTAAAGGCAAGACCTTTGACAGCTTTGAATTTTTAGTAGCACGCTGCTACACCCTTCTGCCCACTGCACTGTTCTGCTCACAGGCGGGGGCTGAAAACCAGACTCTGCAGCCTTAGACATTGTCTTCCCAGAGGAATTAGTTTAACCGACATTTAGCCATCGAGTGACCTGTCCGCCAGCTGCGGGGCCCATGGGGAGGTACAGAAGGCCGGCCCCTGCCCCTGTGAGGCTCGCAGAGGGTGGCCGGGGAATGTCAGTGGAACAGGGTGTCGTGAGCTCACATGAGTCCCATCCCAGGCCCTCTGGAAGCCTCAGCGCACCCCTGCGGATGGGTGCCGGCACTCTGGAAAGATGGCAGCCTCAGCTTGGCATTTACCCAGCAGCCCTGGGTCTGCCCATTTGGGTCTGCTCCTCCCGCTCTCCCTGAGCCATGCAGAACCAGACTGATTTGCCCCAATGTGGCCCCAAGAGCCCAGCTTAGGTCAGAATACAGTGCTATGCTTCTCCTCCAGAACACGCCATTTCCTCGGGCCAGGAGCTCATGGCCCATTTTTAGTCTGACTAAACCCCACGTCATCATTCAGTATGAAGTTTAGTGAAAGAACTCAAGTTGTAAAGGAAAGACCATCGGGTATCTTTTCAAGTTGGCTTGGTAGTTCCTGGATGAGAGAGGATGCTGGAAACACCTTGGCTCCAGGCGCACTTGCCCTTAAGAATGGGAAAAGAAAAGCCTGAAGGAAATGCCATTTGTTAAATTAATGTTACAAAAACTACCTCTCTTTCAGGATGCTCGACTCAGCACACGTGAAATCTTCTTTCCTGTAAAAATGATAAAATAATGTGGGTGAGGAACTGGGTTGTGGGGCTGGTCAAGCTCCTGTTCCTATCAGTGGTCTGGCTGGTAGAGAAAGCATTGTTCTGGAAAGGGAAGCAACGGTGCTCTTTGGGGATAGGGATGTGCTGGGAGAAATTCCTTTTAAGCCAGGGTATAAAGAAGTTGCTGAAGAAAGTACTCTTGACCTCTGCATTGCATCAGCCTCTAATTTCCCTTGGAACAGCGGAGTCATCTGCCCACGAGAGCAGCAGCTGCTTTGCTGTGTCTAAAAGAAAGAAGAAAGAAGAAAGAAAGAAAGAAAGAAGAAAGAAAGAAAGAAAGAAAGAAAGAAAGAAAGAAAGAAAGAAAGAAAGAAAGAAAGAAAGAGAAAAAAAAGGGAAAAATCACTGACTTAAAGAGGGCAATGACTATTTTCACTGTGTGCGGAAGGGATATTTTCAGCACATCTGGGCAGGATTCTAAACTTACCAATGGCTTAATGCAAGATTCTCATGCCTCCTAGGGATGTTTTATTGTGTTACTCCCAAGTTTTTATCACTTTATTTCCAATCGTCCCTTGGGGACGAACAAAAATGCTTTTCTGAATCATAGGAAATGCTTCAAGCTGGGTACAATTTGATATTAACTGAGGATATTCAGGAGTCACGAAGGAACGTCACATTTTTTTGTAGATTCTAAAACGGGATCCAAAGGGGCAAACGTTATTTTCCCCCCTAATTTAATAAAGTGACAGAACAAGTTAAGTTATTAAAGATCTGACACCCCACCAGGATTCCATAGTACTGACGTAAAATGAATTACTCTTTCTAAATAATACAGCAGGGGAAAATGAAAGCATTTGTCACTATGCTAAGAACAAATGAAGAAAACACATTTAGTTTTATGAAGAAATTCACTCCTCAAGACTTCTATTTTTTTTTTAAACAGTCAATTTGATCGAAGAGATTCTATAATCCTAGATTACTTCATAGATAAAACCATTTGCCATTTATATTGCCTCACAAGCATGTGTGGCTTAGGGGTTACCTACAGTCTGGAGTGTCAGGATGGTGGTAATAAAGATAACATTTACCTCTGAAATATGCTGGGATGCCGAGAGACTGAGAGAAAATAAGTCTGAGAATATGAAAAGAAAAATGAAAATACTCATCTAGCCTAAACCTGTGTTAATGAATATCATAATACTTTAATTAGTAATGTGGGTTCTGGTAGCATTTTCAGAAAATTGGTGAACAGAGTCTTCCAATATTTGGTTCTCTGAATTAATTTCTACCCCTCACCAAGGGGAGATACTTGGAAGTATAGTCAAGAGTGCTTATGGTATTACTACTTAAGAAGAAAATGATGGTGAAAAAGACAGTGAGACTGTCTTTCAATATTATCAAAAGAGAAGGAATCTGATAAGCAACATCTTATAAAGATTATCTGAGGAAGACACGGATCTAAAATCGGGTTGTATCATCAACAGAAGAACGGATAAAGACGTTGTGTGGAATATTACTCAGCCATAAAAAAAAATGAGATCTTACCATTTGCAACAACATGGATGGACCTAAAGGGTAATATGCTATGTGAAATAAGTCAGACAGAGAAAGAAAAATACCATATGGTTTCACTCATATGTGGAATCTAAACAAAACAAAACAAAACAAATGAACAAACAAAAAAGCAGAAACAGACCCATAAATACAGAGCACAAACTGATGGTTGCCAGGGGTGGAGGGGATGAGTAAAATGGATGAAGGGGTGTAGGAGGTACAGGCTTCTAGTTATGGAATGAATAAGTCACAGGGATGAAATGCACAGCATAGGGAATATAGTCTATGGTATCGTAATAATGTAGGTGACACATGGTAGCTACACTTGTGAGTATGGCATAACATATACTGTTCTCAGGTCACTACGTCCTACAACCGAAACTAATGCAACATTGTGTGTTAACTATACTTCAGTTTTAGGGGCGCCTGGGTGGCTCAGATGGTTAAGTGTCTGCCTTCAGCTCAGGTCATGATCTCAGGCCCTGGGATCGAGCCCCGTGTCCAGCTCCCAGCTCAGCGGGAAGCCTGCTTCTCCCTCTCCCTCTCCCTTTGCCTCTTCTGCTTGTGCTGTCTCTCTCTCTCAAATGAATAAATAAAATCTTAAAAAAAATTTATATAAAAAACCAAAATATACTTCAATTTTAAAAAATTAATAAAGTAAATAAAATAGAATTGCCAGATTTAGCAAATAAAAGTCTGTATTTTTATTTTAGCTGGGCATTCTGTATGCTCTGTTCGATCTGAATTTCAGATAAATACCTTTTTTTTGTAATATAAGTATGTTCCATACAATAGTTGTGGCATTTTATACTAAAATTTATCTACTGTTTATCTGAAATTCAAATTTAAGTGGACACTCTGTATTGAATCTTGTAACTCTAGTCTAAAATGATCTTAAAATGCTAACTTTGGATGATTATAGAGGTCATGTGATGAAATGGATTTTTAAAAACAAAGACAAAGAAATTGACCAGGTTTAGCATTTAGTAATTATCTTTGGTGGCACGATACACCCAATTACAATTGTTGGCTATATGGTCAACAAGCCTTATAAAAATCACTTACAAAAGCCACAAGGTAAGTGTTCTGCATGTGGTGATTGTTAAATGAAAACAAACTAACAAATAAACAAAAGCAAGCACAGGACAAGCCATTTCCTGTAATGTGAATGAATACTTGTGGCCTAGGTAAAATTTCCAGTGAGAGCAATATACATAAAAAGGAAAAAAATGCTGTATCTTATACAATTTCAATCACATGAAAATAGTATTTTAATCTTAAAAAGAGATTATAGCAATGACAAAGTAAAGTCAAAGATGCATATAACAGAATGAATAAAATTATTTCACACAAGTGAGTGAAGGCAATATTCTAAAATAATATATTAGTTTATCTAATATGTAATTTTACATATTTGTAACTAAATTGATCTGAACTTTATTTTATTTAGAGAGAGAGAGAGAGAGCTTGTGAGCAGGGGGCATGGGGGCAGAGGGAGAGGGAGAATCTTAAGCAGGCTCCATGCCCAGTACAGAGCTGATGCGGGGCTCGATCCCATGACCCTGAGATCATGACCTGAGCCGACTGAGCCACCTAGGTGCCACTAAACTTTTCTTTTTTCAATATTCTCATTGGGAAACCAGAGGGTCACATTATATACCAGATTGCCAAACCAGACGTTTGGACATGTACACAAGTTTTAGGAACATGTATTGACTGTCTTATCAATATCAAACTCACTTATATCACAATGCTAATAAATCTTACGAATCTGCTTTATGTTTTACCCACCTAAAAAACTGTCTCTAGCTGTGACTTCTACTTCTAGCCATGATGGAAAAATAGGACCAGATTTACCCTTCCTCCTTAAACAATTTAAAAATTGGACCGAATATATTTAAAAATTGCTTTTCATACATCAGGTAATAGGCAGCACAGTCTGTACTGGGATCCCTGAGAAACAAAGTGAGTTTTATTCTTGCATGAATTTACTTCTTGAAAGCAGTTTCCAACACAAGAAAAGGGAATCCAAATAAAGTCCATTGGTCTTGGTGTGTTGAGCAGATAGAAGCTGTACTATATAGAAGCTAAGGTGACTAGAATTTAAGGACAATGCATTGAAATGGGGGACTGTACAGAGAAAGAGGGAGCTTGGGAGATCTGTAGAGGAGTCCCTTCAAATCTTTTGCTGAGTACTGATCTGTGCATGCATGGGAGGACATTACCTGCGGTCAGAGAAAACTACTTCCTGGAGCTCACACAGGACTGAGGATAGTCTATGTTCCTACCAATCAAAGCGGTAGCTGGGGCACCTGGCAGAATTCTCAGAAGGACATTTCTTTAGTTATCACTACTTAGTTAGCCCTAGGCAGTTCTGGACCTGACATATGAGCTTAAAAGCGACCATCAAAAGGATCCAGTTAATTTAATTGTATGCCAAAACAAAACCCAACATTAAACAAATATAACAAGATCTAGCAACCAACAAAGCAAAATTCACAGTATCCAGCATCCAATTAAAAAAAAAAATTTACCAGGTTAAGAAATTTAAAAAGCAATCTCATCTACAATTGCATCAAAGGGAATAAAATACCCAGGAATAAATTTAACCAAGGAAGTGAAAGACCTATATATTGAAAACTACAATACTGATGAAAGAAATTGAGGATGACACAAATAAATGGAAAGATAACCCATGTTGGTTAGATGAAAGAATTAATATTGTTAAAATGTCCATACTACCCCAGCAATCTACAGATTTAATGCAATCCCTATTAAAATTCCAGTGACATTTTTCACATAAATAGAGAAGACAATTCTGTAATGTGTGTGGAACCACAGAAGACCCCAAACAGCAATGCAGTCCTGAGAAAGAATGACAAAAACGGCATCACCCTTTCTGATTTCAGTCTACACTACAAGCTCACAGTAAAACGGTGTGGTACTGGAGGAAGAAGGGGACCAAGAGGATTTTGAAGGTGCACAAGAGGGAGGAGCCTTTGATTAAATCAGAGAAAATTGTGAGTTGTCTATTTTTGCCTATTAATAGCATATTTTCCACCAATGAAGAAACTCAACTGGAAAAGCGATTACTGCATATTAACCAAGCCGATTTTAGGGCCCAGTAAGCTGGCTTCAGTTTTCACATCCACTAGCACTGTTGAGTATGCTTTCAACAGACATTATCAGTTAACTGGTAAGATACAATTCTTTTTGTATTTTGTAACTTACATGAGAAAACACACCTAAGAAATGACTTTATTTGTCCACAGGACAGCCGTCACTGGCAGGCCACAAGCTTACCAATTTCATGTCTGGCAAGTGCTGCCAGGACACGTTTTGTGCTCTGAACAGAGTGGCTGCTTCCCCATGTATGACGATCCTAGACTTATTCCTTTCTCTGGGGCCTGGAAACTGAGGTAATCTGACTTTACCACATAGCTGATTGCCTTTGAGCAGGGCATAATCTCGCCAAACCTCATTTTTTTTTTCATTTGTAAAATGGGGAATATAATACTTAACTCCTCAAATTTTTGTGAGGAATAGTATGTGTAAAATGCTTCACATAGTGCCTGGCACGTGGGAGGCAGTCCGTGTTACTTTAGGGTCCAGTTGAGATAATACAGTTAATTATGCAACTTTGAATAGTGATTGAGCTTGCCCCACACAGAGCCTTTTAGCATTTCTGTGACTCACTGAAAGCATCATAGTTATGACTACAATTCTTAGTGTTTACAGGAACTTGGAAAAGAACGACTTCACGGAGGCCTTACCTGAAGTAACTGGCAGAACCAAGCCCTAGGCCTTTTGATCCCAAATCCATGTTCTTTCTGATGCTTTGCACCAATACCTCCCCCTCCTCGCCCCTGAAATCTTTCGCACCATACTCTTTTCTCTTCTCAAAAGATAAACAGTATGGTTCTTAACCTTCCGTTTCGTGCTTGATCCAATAATGGCTCCCATTGCTGTATTTCCTGTGTGCGTATCCTGACTCCTCAACTAAGTTCCATGAGTATCTGAAGATAGGGATTGTGGTCTGTTTCAGTTCTGTTTGGCAACGAGTCCTCATAGCCTATCTAACACAGACCCAATGCGCAGGAAAGGTGAATTCAGCTCCATCGCTCCCTCAAAACCCA